TTTGGTGTATTTTTTTAATGTAGGTGGCTTTTTTGTACCTCCATTGACACAATTTAAATCATTTAGGAGGAGGCGGGTTTCTGACCCTGAGTCTCCCTTTCTGTCAGGGCCAACTGGGACTGAGACACTGAGAGGGAAACAACCTCACAGCAGAAAGAAACAGGTGCTCGAAAAAATTTCTACCCGCTCGGGAATCGCACATAGGTCTTTTGCATGTGTCAGCGAAGCTTGCAACCATTACACTACAAACACTGGTGAAAAGAGATGGATAATGATGATAAAGTAATAATTCACAGTAATAATAGTTGTATTTATATTATTATATAGCACATTTCCAAGCTTCACAGCATGCTCTATGCACTGCCATTTTACAACTATTTCATTAAGATAGCAAGTGCCTATACCTCCATCCATAAAGTTTTGATAATTTAGGAGGCTGAGTGGCGTCAGTAGTCTAGTAATTAGGTTACCTGACTTATAATTGTGAGAATGCCGATTTGGGGGTTCGAGCCTCAGCTCAGTCCGATAGTCCTTGGGAAAAGCACTTTACAAGAATTTCCCACTTGGCTCGGTCCTTTCGGAGATGGACGTTAAACTCCGAGGTTCCACCTATTAAATAACTAATAGTGTTGATGGGGTGTTAAACCAATACGATTTTCACCTTTTAGGAGGCTGACTGCTTCAACCCTGGCTGAGTGGGATACAGGATCAGAGCTGAGAGATGAAGATACTTGATAAAAAAAATTCCTCATGTGAGAATCAAACTCTGCAACAGTGAAGAACCTAACCTATTACACGACAGATGCAAGTTTAAAGTTAAGTCAGTTGTTGCTGACAAGTAATATGATTTCTTTCATTTGATCAGAGAGAACCGATACAATTCACACAATGATGGTATCCAACTCTAATTGTGTATCCCCCAACTAAGTCAAACACTTCTTTTGTCTGAATTCTTGTTATTCTTCACAAGTGCAATAACAACTGGCGATATTAATATTAGTAAAAAAAAAACACTGTGCAAAACTTGATAAATTCTGGGAGACAAGTAGAAAGAAATCACATTTTAAACAAATGTAATTTACTTTGATGCAAACATATTTGGAGTAAAAAAAATTAGAGGTGTCAGTAGGCTACTTGAGAATTACAATTACAAAGTTCCGACATTTTTTGGCAGTCTTGAGTTACTGAGACCGTGAGGTTAGAAACTAAATGTTCTTTTGGCTTTATCAAAGCCGTAAGATTATTTGGAGTCATTATCAAAATATCTTTAAAATTTCAACAAATCTTGACATGTGAAGCTCAAAGTTTAATCGTCGAATTTCTGAAAACTAAGAACTGAGCAGATAGAACTTTGTTCTTCTAGGGTAGCGAGTTGTCTAGTTTTTAGGCTACTAGACTCGTAACCCTGAAATAGCTGGTTCCCGGGTTCAAGGCTCAATTCGATCCGACGTTGTCCCTAACTTGGGAAAGACACTTTACACAGAATTTCCCAACAGTCAAGGTCCTTTGGGAGAGGGAAGTTGAATTTGGAGGTCTCAGATCTTAAATAACCAAACAGAGTTGCGGTGATCAACCTGTTCAGTTAAGCCCAAACTTTTAACAGATTAAATGAACGAACACCAGTGAAAACACCAAGAGTCAACAAAGTAACAATACATTGTAACTTTTGTTATGTTTAATTGTTAGAAGTGGAATTTGGGAGGGGAGGGGGGACAGGGTGCAAAACACCAAATTATTTCTTAACCAAAAAGATGAACATAATAAAGGATCCTGGAACATGAAAACTGTAAGTTAATACACAATACATGTACCAGAAACAGAGCTTGTAGTTGAAGTAGGAATAAATTATTGTCAACAAGCTGTTCAAATGTGCTAACCCCAGAAAGCAATTTTTTTCAGGAAAGAGAAAAAAGTTTCATTCTTTTAACAATTGTACCAACTTTAAGTATCTTTTCTTGCCTTTTTTCAACGTGTAGAATTTTAATTTAGATAAAATATTTCTTGAGCATATGTAATTGATACTACGGGTAGTATAACTGTGATTTAAAAATAAAACAACTAAAATTTTGGGCTTCGTAAAAGTGAACATCCGGTTGACAAAATGCTCATCTTAAAAGAAAATTTAATTATCTCTAGTGATTATCTTCATAAATAACTATTACTGGGACAATCACTATAAACAAAAGTGACTATATTTTACCAACCCTCAAATTATGTCACAGTTCCTAACTATGTCTAAGATATCACAAAAAAATGACAGTTTAATTAATTATGATTTACAATCCATGCCTTGATCACTTTTCTCCATGATAAAAAACTGAATTTGAAGTAAACCCAAAATCAACTAACCTTTAACGTATTTGCTGCTTGTTTAAAGAAATTTAGGTACACTATGGAAACATTTTGTGAAGCGTGCTGACAACATGAGTTACTTCCTGGATTCAAGTCCTATGGAAATAGATACATCACGCTTTTACGTGAAGTTTTTACCATTTATAAGTATGACAATGGTAAAAGCCATCTTATACTTAAGGAATGGCATCTATAGAAAATCTACAAATTTGACTGCAGTGTTGATTTTTGGCCAATATCTCCATTTCTGGATAGCGAAAAGTAACTTTTTGTCAACACATCTCACATTTGACAAATTTTACCATCCAATTTTCAAAATGGTACTTTTTACTAACTTTTAATAATAGGCCTACGCTTTCGATTTTAAAAACCCAATCTGCACCAGATTTTTACAAGAGATTCTATTCAACAAGGTAGACATTACGACCAAAAGGGTAAAATATTAAGACGCTCGAAAATTTCTATGGACTAAAAATGATTTATCTGTTTCTCTCACTGTCTACTGTTCAACTATCTACCAAGAGCAACAACAGTAAATTTTTTAACTAAAAATTTTATACTTATCAAAAGAGAAAAAATATTATCAGTGATATACTGGCAACGAAACATTTCTGAAAAAAAGTATCTGCACAATTGCGCCAAAGCATTTTGAACGAGCAAAGGTTTAGTTCTTTCAAAATCAAACTTTGATCACCATTTCCTGAAATCAAACAAGCCAATACTGCAATACATGTTAAACATTAACATTTAATTTTAAGAGTTAAAAAAAAACGAAAAAAAACAACACAATCTTAAATCACATGCAAAACTTCAGCAGAGATTGTCAATGAGCAAATCAGCCTTGTGACTGATCGTAACAAAGTCACCAATCTCAAAATTAAAAGATCACTTTCGTAACAAAAACATTTCAGTTCATTTTAACTCTGATGCTCTGATTATTCCAACTCCAACATGATCTCAACAGACAACAGAGAGCGAAATTGAGCATAGGTACAGAGCTATTCACAGTGCTATTAATAGCAATAATAAAACAAAACAGCAGGAAGGATCTGGAGAGGCATAAAGCACAGAGGAGTCTGCTTAAACCAAAATCTGCAGGACCGCCGGATTTTCTTTGTTTTCGCCCCCAATTTACTTTAGACAGATTGCTCAAATACAAAAGGTAAAAATTGTATTTTCTTTTGGTCTACTGCTGCTGTTTTCACTTTAAGCGGCCCCCACAGTAATAAAGATGTACATCAGAGAGGTGGTGGCGCACTGAGTGGCATCCCAGCAGCTAAGATGGTGTGACTTCTGACAATTATACAATAGGACAGTGGATCTCTTAGGTCTATTGACCAACTTAACGTCCTACACCTTGCCATTTTGTTAATCATGAAAAGAAAAAAACAACAACAAAAAAACAGCATGCAAGTGGAAAGAAGAAGATGAAATGTTACAATTTTGAACGGAACATGCTCACCTCCAGACCCACAAAAAAAATGTGAGTAACAGTGTTAAAAAGAAATTTTTTTGCTAACATATTAATATTCAAATCCAATGATAAGTGATACAATTTTGAAAACAAGAGTTGGCATGGTATTAGTTAAGAAACCCTTTCAATACTGAAAGGTTATCTAAGGAAAAGGATTTCATTTACCAAACAGCAGCCTTGAAGACTGGAAGGACACATGAATCTAATGGCAGGGTGCAAGATCAACCGACACATGCTATCAAATTACATTATAATTTATAAATAACATTTATATATTTTAGTTAGCTCACACAGACATGCCCTACAGTATCCATGTGCTTTGCAACTATTATTACCCCGCTAGACTCCAGAAACATTCTCAACTTCCCAGAAAGCATACAGTGCAAGCAGCCGATTTAGTGCTCAAACACTAACAAACTGACAAAATATTTCACTGTCTACGGCCGGGTACCCTTTCCTTCTTGTGTGAAGAGAGGTAAATTTGTGTTAAGTGCCTTTCCCAAGGACATAATGTCAGGTCCCCAATGGACGTCAAACCCATAACACCCCTATTAATTGAGATTCTGAGAGCGTAACAACTAGACTAATTTTGCCATATAAGCAAAAATTTGAACTTTAAAAAAAAAGGTAGCCTATTTGTCAGAGTCTTGCAATCAACCATTGATTTTTATATCCTCATAACGAAATGATAATGGGCCAAGTCATTTATCTTAGGACTCAAAGTGAACAAAAAGACACTCATTAATTTCATGTCCTTTCTTTACTCAGACCAAAATCAATACGTCGTATCACGACGAGGTGGAATCAGGCTCTCGTCAATTTTAAGGCATGTAGAATGATTGACATCATCTTAAAGCTTGTTCATTTGTCTTGCTTTGGATGAAAATATATCTATTTATCTTGAATAGAAGTCGAGATATTTTGAAATGCAGGAAGTGGGGTGGGGGGCTCACCTGGTTTCAGAGGTAAAATTAGTGGGAAAATGGCTGCCAAAGATGAGTAGTTTCCTTAGCTTGAGAGTCCGTGTTACAGAAAATTTACAGTTTTTGAGCCTTTAATCAACATTTTTCAGTAGCATCCACGCAGAAATGTGTTCTTTAATGGGCATGAAAGGTTTTGAACCAAAAAACGAAAACTTGATAAAAAAAAATAATTGGTCACAAGCCTGCGGAAAAACGCCAGTTTCTTCACTTTGATTATTTTGACGAGCGCCTGATTTCACCACACTCCCTCACATATATTTTCCATAATTGGAAATTTGTTGGCACATTTACTACAGCATTTTATGGCAATGTAAACATTATCACCAAAACGGTCAAATGTTATGGCAGTCCAAATATTCTTTGAACAAATTCTAAACATAATTTGTCTCATACCTTCTCTCTCTACAGTTCAATTATTCACCCCCAGTAATAGCAGAAAGTCTTTCACATCGTCATATTGAACTAATCAATAACAAAAAAAACAACATTACCAATAATTTACCTCAATGGCCTCTGTAAGATTATATTATAGATCAAATGTGTTGACCACAAACATTTTTAAAACAAAGGCATACTATGGACAGGCCAGAGGGCTGGTGTGTGATTTTTAGGGGCTAAAAGTATATTTTTAGGTCCCCATCAACACAATTTAGATCATTTAGGAGGCCCGCTTCAAATCCTTCTTGCCAGAGCCAACCCAGGCTGAGAGGGATACAGCATGCCAGCAGAAAGACAGAGACTCAATAAAGATTTCTCCCGACTCAAGAATCAAACTTAGAAGTCCTGCATGTGACGAACTGCTACACTACAGATGCCGGGGTGTGATCTCTGCCGGCGCTCTTGTTTCTGTGAGCCCTCAAACTGACGCTGCGAGCGGTGCTGGGGCTCTCTGGCCCGCCACTCTGGAAGATTCCGTGCTTCCTCATGTGCCATAAGAGGGCGGTGCGCTGGCGACAGCGGTAGTCACAGATCTGACAGGCCACCGGTTTCTCCCCGGTGTGAGTCAGGTTGTGCACCTGGAGGTGAGTCTGGGCGTAAAAACTTTTGCTGCAGCCCGGCCAGCTGCACAGATACTTGCGCGTCTTGCCCTTGTGTTCTGTGGTGACGTGCTGGCGGAGGTCGCGACGGCTGGCAAACTTCTCTCGGCAGCCACTGACGGTACACGACAGGACACCGCTGTGAACTTTGTTGATGTGCATGTCCATCGACCATTTCCGAGAGAAAGTGGCCGAGCAGTTGAGTACAGGGCACGCATACCTGCCGGTACGTTGACTTGACTGACTGACTACACACTCAGAGCCGTCCTTTCCAGAAAACTCTGTGCTTTCCTCGACCAACCCATAATCCCCTGGGGAAAAAATTGTTGAAACCAACTGTAGAGCTGTTACTTTCATATTCATCATCATCATCAATGCCTTTCTCACCCTGGATCAGTGTATAGGCGTATAGCTAGTCTCTTGATATTAGTCCACGTCTTCCTACTTTTCTGCACATCATTTTCTGTGTCTGTCATATGTGGGGCGACGAGGAGAAATCAGAAGCTCGTCAAAATAATGAAAATGAAGAATCTTTATCTAATTTGTGTTTTTTGGCTTAACACCATTTGTTGTCCAATTGAGGACACATTTCTATTTGGATTTTACTGAAAAATGTTGATTAAAGGCACAAAAAATGTAAGTTTTCAGTTTCCACGGATTATCAAGCTATGGAAATAACCAAACTTTGGCGGCCATTCTTTCACTAATTCTACCTTTGACACCAGGCAACCCAACCTTCTTAAATCTCAAATATCTTGATTTCTATTCAAGATAGAAGGCATTTTTTTTTACCGATAGCAAGACAAACAAACAAGCTTTAAGATGATACCAATAAATCCGCATGCCCAAAAACAGACGAGCGCCTGATCCCACCATGTCATGACACATATTCATAATCTTCGCCAAATAGTGCTAGTGCATGTTACTCACCCTCATTAGTCCTGGGGTAAGCCGTCACTTGTTGGGCTGAGTCGGAAGACGTTGAGCTTTTCCTGCCGTGTGATCGTAACTCTTTACCCGAGCACTTTCTCTGCCCCTCTGCCGTAGCCTGGGACCTGGCTGACCTTCCAGTGGAGGACTTGTGCACTGTACCTCTTTCCATATCAGGAAAACTTTTGTCATCTGTCACAAGTGTTGGATTCACTGCATCAGCAGCATTAGGCACCATTTCTTCATTTTTAGCATGACCCCTCGGTGATTTCCTAAAGTTTCTTTTCTTCGGAGGCAGGGAGCTCATTCTGTGGCGTTCACGCAACGACAAAACTTTCCCTGCTACTCCTAGGTCATTGCAGGAGCTGCCGTCTAGGGCTACGTGAGAGACGTTCACGTTACTGCTTCTGGGGTTCTCTTCTGTCTCAGAAACATCACGCCTAAGACTATCAAACTCAGCAAAGCTCTCTACACCATGCCGGCATAATGCCGAGTCCATTGTTGCGTCTAGGAGCACACAGTTTCCCTCATCATCAACTTCTGGGTTATCTATGTCCACAGCTGTTGTATCAACTAGACTTTCACTCACTACTCTCGTTTTCCTCCTCCTCTTTCTCTTTCTCTTCTTTCTCGGTGCCTCTTCAGGAGGACTTCCGACAGCCGACCGCTTCAGGCTGATTTTCATGACAAGCTTTTTCTTAGCGTCAATGCCCGGCGCAGATTCACAAACACCATATCTGTTAGTAGAAACGTCTTCCCGAAAAGGGTATGTAGCTTGAGAATACTCACTAGTTTGCATGAAGCTCTGTACCGGAGCACTAGTGTTGACAACAGAACCACTGTCAGGAGGGCAAACATAACTGACGCCCTGATCCAACATGCTCAGATCTAGAGGTGGCTGGTCCACTGAGAGAAGAGAAGAAAAAGCTTTCCAGTCCTCTGAAGTATTGTCTTTGGGGCTGTTTGAGGAATTCTTCCCGTCCCCCGCTGCCATTGTGTGCTGACGGTTGTGGACCACAAGGCACAGCGGCTGATCCTGGTGCCAACTTGCTGCAGCCTCCTGCTCCGAACGTCCTTGACCTACATCAGCCTGCCGACAAGTGTTGTTGAAGAAGTTCTCTTCTCTCCCACTCGGCTGTTCTCCGGTGTCAATGACAAGTTGTGGAGGCTCGTCACACTCAGACAACTGTTCTCGTTGCTCATTCATCTCCAATGAGAACTGCTCCTGTTCCTGCTGTTGCTGTTGCTGTGTCTGTTGTTGTTGTTGTTGCTGCTGCTGTGTCTGTTGTTGTTGTTGTTGTTGTGTCTGTTGTTGTTGTTGTTGCTGCTGCTGTGTTTGTTGTTGTTGTTGCTGTTGCTGTTGAAGTGGTTGGGAGTCCACCATGTGTGTCTGCTGTAGTTCTCGTGGCTCTGACAAGTCCAGGAGTAGGGATACTTGTGATTTAGGTGAGCGCTCATGTTTCGGGTCAGAAAAGTCTTGTAGCTGAGACTGCGGGTCAGAAATGTGTAGAAATGACGGGGGAGCATCGAGGAGGCAATGCTGCATCACCTGACTGTACATAGAGCTCACCGGGTCACACGCCGCAGACCTCGGGGACAAACGAGCCGCCGGTTGGTGGGAGAAGGACGGGAACACAGGGCCGGGGCACGGCTGACCTTGGTTAGGGAGGAGGCCATCTTTGCTCACCAGCGACTGACCAGAAGCATTACCGCTCGAGCAGTTTTTTCCCCATTCTGCAAAGTCACCCATATTGTCTTCTTTCAACTTTCTCTTTGTACCTTCCTTGCCCCGAAGACTACTTCCATTGTCCTGTGGTCTACTTCCATTACCATAATCTTGAGCAGCATCTCTAGAAACAGTATGCGGTCTAAACGGTTCATCTGTCAACTTATCACCTCCTGATCTACACTCGTTCACATTTCCAGTGCCAACAGACCTTCCTTCAACCGTCAGGGGGCCTTCACATTTCTCAGACACGCCATCTGTGTTAGCTTTTTGACTGTCATTTTCTCCCTGCCCTGTCGTTCGTTCACAGGATGACTCTGTTTGTGCCGGGTTCTCATCACTCCTCTCTTTACTCTTCTTTTCTTCCGTTTCCGGTGCGAGGTCGTGAACATCCCTGTTCAAATGAAGAGAAAGTAAAAGAAATATGTGAATGAATATTTCATGATCCAAATGAAAGGGAAAATAAAAGAAATAAGTGATGGAATATTTCATAATCCAAATGAATAGAAAGTAAAAGAAATAAGTGAAGGAATATTTCATAATCCGAAGGAAGAGAAGAGTAAAAAAAATAAGTGATGGAATATTTCATAATCCAGATGAAAAGAAAGTAAAATAAGTAAAGGAAAATTTCAGGATCCAAATGAAGGGAAAATAAAAAGAAATAAGTGATCGAACATTTCTGGATCCAAATGAAGAGAAAGTTTTTTGTTGTTTTTTTATAGTAGAGGGTTTTACAGCGCTCGCAACTGCATAAGGTCATGTGAGCGCCAAGAGGTGGGTGTCAACAGAGAAGTCTTTACAGGGAATCAGACTTAGACAGCTCACCTCTCTAGCTTCAACAGCACAAGGTCTGCTTCCACTATCAAGGCATCCCAAAATAGCAGGTCACAAGAGAGTGACAAACATACTGAAGAAGTAGAGGAAAATGACAATAGTAAGGATCAGGAACGAAAAAGCAGCAGTTCCTTGTTGTAGATCAGGCACAGTTATGAGCATGACATGATGAATCAGCCCATTTACAATTCTACTGTGCTAGAACCAGAAATGTCCCCCCTTTGGGAATGGCCTAAAGACACTTCAGTCAGTGGCACCGCCCCGGGGGAGAGCAAAAGGAACAAGTGAGTAAGTGATGGAATATTTCATGATCCACATGAAGAGAAAGTACAAGAAATAACTGATGGAATATTTCATGATCCACACAAAGAGAAAGTACAAGAAATAACTGATGGAATATTTCATGATCCACACGAAGAGAAAGTACAAGAAATAACTGATGGAATATTTCATGATCCACACGAAGAGAAAGTACAAGAAATAACTGATGGAATATTTCATGATCCACACGAAGAGAAAGTACAAGAAATAACTGATGGAATATTTCATGATCCACACGAAGAGGAAGTACAAGAAATAACTGATGGAATATTTCATGATCCACACGAAGAGAAAGTACAAGAAATAACTGATGGAATATTTCATGATCCACACGAAGAGAAAGTACAAGAAATAACTGATGGAATATTTCATAATAAATAAATGACATTTATATAGCGCTCAACCCCAAATAAAGTACACAGGCTCTGAGCGCTTTACAATACAGAACAACATACATTAGTAACATGAAATGTTGTGTTCTGACTAAAGAAAATTATTCCAAATATTCATCTTATTAATTTAAAAACAGAAAAAACTTCAGCTGATATTTGAATGAAACCATAATATCATAGAGAAAAGCAACCCCAGTGATTGTTTTTATGTAAATTTGTTCTTTTGTTGAAACTTAGTACCATGGGTGTGTATGTATTTTAAAAGGATTGTTGTACAATGAATTGACTGGGGTATGCACAAATCGAGTCATTGTGGAAGTGCAAGCTGTTGAAAAATTTTAATTTTATTGTGAAGCACTTGAGCCACCAAGGAGTGGGTGCTATAGAAGTGATCTTCATAATTATTTATTATAACACCATCATCAATGGGGTTTCACCACTAGTTGACAGGCAGTGGTTCAATTCACTACCCCCCATCCAATTTGGAGGGGGGGAGGGGGGTGTTGTCCTGGTTCTTGTCCTCGACTCACGGGAGTCAAATTCAAGGTCTGCAGGCCAAAGCTGACCTGTCAAACAATGGCATCTGGCCCAAGACAGAAAGAACAGGCAGTCTTTCTTGAAATCTCCAGAATACAGAACATCTCTGCTACAAACAATTGAACTTGTTACCAAGAAAAAATACCAAACATCCAGTACTAAAACATTCACGATGAGAGCAAAAAATCCCAAGATTTGTTATCATTTCAACTTTTGTCAATTTTTTTTTATATCATAGGGTGAAAAAGGTATAGTATTGAACAGCTCAGCGAGTGTTTATAGTTTGGCCCACAACTTCAAGTGTGATGTGAGTTTTGGCCCCTTGCCTGATTGAGTCCTGCACCTTTATGTTTATGTTTTAGTATGAGTTTTACAGCACTCTCAATACAAACAAGTATTATATAAGTGCCGAAAATCAGAGGGTTACTAAAGAGTATTATATACAAATAAAAGGAGGAGAGGCAGGGATGCTAGATATTTGACAGGAGAGAGAAAGCAAACCGAACCAGAGCACCCGCCAACCACCTACTTTAACACCCTGCCTGGGCACTTGTTTTCAAACTTCAAGAAACAAATCACATTTTACAGCAAGCTTGTCAACTTGTTCAACACCCATCAAAGTACAAAACAACAAATAAAATTACATCAAGCGGGATGGATATTCATGTGGTGTAGCCTAAATGATAAGGCTTTCAAATTCCTAATTGCTGAATCTGGGACTGTCCCTGAAAATTTGGGATGGTTGACAAACCTGCAGTAAAAAGTTGTTCCTGCATCCAATCCGGACACTGGGGATTGCCTTGTTAATGAGACAACTTCCTGGGCCTATGGCATATTGTGGTAGGGTTGCCAGTTTCTTTCCACGCCACCTTTACTTCCCCAACTCGAAGTCAGGTACAGTAGTCTCCGCCTAAACGCACGCCACGCAAGAGCACGCTCCGCTCAAACGCACGCTTTTGTCACCTGACGGGTTTTTTACTATATAATTTAGACGTACAAACACACGGTCACTCCCTCTAAACGCACGCTCCGATCTGCGAAACACGCCGACAAGTTAAGCTTGGCAAGGTGAAATTTTCAAGACAACCTGCCCAGCCTGCATAAGACGAGCCTAGAATTTACTAGAAAATCGGATGTCTGGTGAGAGTGCCCCTCACGCCGTACAAAGAGAGTGATGGACAGCGTTTACACACCCTACTTTCCACTGACGCTTAGGTCTCGGTCTTGGGCTGGACGGTTAAATGTTGGGGGTGGGGGGACTGAAATGTTTTTTGATTGGTTACTGGAAATGTATCTTTGAGAGGTTTCTGACTGGTGTTTGAGTTTGAGTGATAGCGTGTAATGTTTAGTTAGATCTAAGCCTGATGCGCGACATGCGTAAATGCCGTAAAACACTTAGACAGGCTTCTATAGGATTAAAGAGTAGCCAAGTAAGTCTAATAAGCTGCGCTCGAAGAACTTATAACGGACTTGTTCAACGAATCACATGAGAAAATATTTCTCGAGGATGATCCTGCATGAATTTCCAGTCGGGGGTGGGCGCTTGGAAAACCACGTGGCTGGTCCGTCATCTCTATGACTATCACCAACAGTTTCTATTTAGGCTATCTGTTCCCGACGTTTATAGTGCAAATTCATTACATTGAGTTTGCACCCCCCCTCCCCTCCCCCCAATTCAATGCCTTTGTACTCTTAATCCCTGTCGTCACATTATCGGCCAAAATGACCCCCTCCCTCCAAGGGAGGTCACTAGAGTAGTAAGGAATTGATATGACTGCGTCCCTTCCTCCCCTTGCAAAGGTTCTTGTAAACGCACGCTCCGTATAAACACACGCTAAGGAGCCCTCCCGAGCACCGTGCGTTTAGGCGAAGACTACTGTACCCATTACTGCTGGGTGTGCAGGAGGGGGCGAAAAAAATCTGTGTCCGAACCTAGGCTCGAACCCAGACTTTCTATTTCAGAGACGAGCGCACTAACCGCTCCACCATCGCACCCTGCAGTACTGAAAAAAAAAGAAAGAAAAAAAAACCTGTTGGTCTAGCTTACCGTAAATGGTCGTCCATGACGGATTTGGAGAAGGTGTGGAAGCGACAGCGCTGGCACAGGATGATCTCCGGGTGGTCGGCCGCCTTGTGCTGCTCCAGCCGGGCCCGGGAGAGGAAGCGGCCGTCACACTCTCCACACACGTGGCTGTGCTGCTCGTAGCGGTGAACAAGGAGGTCCGTGCCAGAGAAGAAGATGAGCTGGCAGGAGCTACACGCTAGCCGGCGCCAGTGAGGAGTCTTCGTGTTGGACGATGAAGAATTCAGCTTGCTTCTCACCACGTTCTTGGAGTCACTACAACCTTTCTCCTGAGAGGAGAAGGATGATCCTGTGATCTTCTGTGTTTCTTCTCCCTTGAGGGAAGTTGCTGTGTTTTTCGTTTTCTCAAGGAAAGCACTTTTTAGCGACTCTAAGGCCTGGGAATGGGGTAATTGGGAAAGAACTTTGCTGTTTAGAACATTCCCGTGCTTACAGCCTGGTCTGCCTTCTGTAGCTATAGCATTACCTGGTCCCGGGCCAGTGTTTTTCTCATCGGTTCTACGCTGGCTCAGTGTCGGGTGACTCTCATCTGATGAGAGAGAGTCAAATTCCAGTTTCTTCCCACTCAGCCCATGACATTCAGAGTAGTCTGGACACGCATCCCCAGAGCTGAGTAACTTGTTGCACTGAACTTCCTCAAAACCTTTCATATAATCCGCACTCAAAAAATCCTCCTCCGCACACGAACGAACATCAGTAATTTTCAGCTCATCAGCTCCGCAAAGGTTAATAACTTGAGACATACTGGTAGCCTCCATCTTGACTTCACTACCATCCAAAGTTTGAACCAGAGGAACCGTAGTCGGTTGAACCAACTTGAGGGCAGACGGCTGCGTTAGAACCGACTTCATACCAGGTTTTGCTAAACTGAGAGCCCCAACGCCTGCTGGACTGATGTACAACGGGAGCAAAGTTGGTTTGTAGGAAGAGTTGCTGATGTGGGTGGAGAATATCGGCACAGAAGTGACCGTCTTGGTGGAGTTGTTGTCTTGAGACAGAGACAGCTGGGAGACCACAGCTTGGGAGGCCACAGAGGAAGACATGGTCATTCCAGGAACCACAGACAGAGACTTGAACACTGTGCTATGCGAGTTGTACACTATGTTCTGGACCAGGCTGGACAGCGAGGCGAGGGACGAGTCCCTGGAGTTGAGGCTCTGGGCGGGGTAGAAAAAGACCGGTGTCCCCAGCGAGGTGGTCAGTGACGGTGCTGACAACCCCTGAGGACATAAGGCAGGTTGTATAGGCAGAAGGTGCTCAGAGGAGGCCATTTTATGACTCGTGTTACCACCTCTCACTTCAGCTTTACTAGATTTTTCAGAAGATAATTCTGACTCAATTCTAGAATCCCGGGCAGAAGCTTGAGAATCCATCTTGACTTCATTACTATAAGCAGTATTCGTACTTTTAGAATATTTCTCGACTTTCACATTCGAACGACACGTCGACTCCTTATCGGTCGTTAACTTGCTCAACTTCTGGACTGCTGACTCCAGCTTTTTTCCATATTGTGCCGAGCTGTGCACATCTTCTGTCAGAACAACACGGTGCCCCGATGAACGAAGACTCTCTTGCTTCCCCTTCATCTGATCTGCGTCTCCAGCTGCCTGATTATTCTCATGACATTTCCTCTGAGAGTACGAATTCAAATTGACTGGTTTTTTCAGCAAAGACTTCAATGACCCTTCCAAAATATCGGATGTGGATGGTGGTTGTTGTTGCTGACCTGATTGTACCTCTTCTCTCCATGTATTCTCTGAGATTTCATTAGCAGGGCCACACATTGGGAGAGATTTTTGACTGGGGAAATCAGAAGCATGGTAAGACGAAGAGTCTGGTTCCTCAAAACATGGGGGTAGAGGAGGACTACACACATCTCCTGTACAAACTGACTTCTCTGATCCTGTAAAAACCAGCTCTGACTTAACCTGGGGAAGATCGGCAAAATTTGCATCTTTCCTTTTGCTCGAAGACCTGATTTGCCGCTGCCAGGATTGCTCCTCTCCATCAAACTCCTGCTCTGTTAAGCAGCTTGGGAACGAATTTCCTACACAATTTTCTTTAGAGTAGCCAACAGGATTCGCACCTGGAATCAGATTATACAGTGTATTGTCGATGTGTCTGCCCGAGTGTGTGATGGCACAGCTCTGCATATTGTTACAGTCTCTCAAAGCTTGGATCTCTTTCTCAGCCTGCTCTTTGGTCCCGTCTACAGAGGACCCTGAGGTAGGCGTGAAGGCGTAAGAGCCAGAATTGGGAACATATGCGAGTCTGCCGTGAAGCCAAGGCTGTTGGTGAGGCTTGGAGAAGACAGCAGAACTCGTGGGTACAAACTGGACGGCTGGGTTAGACAACTGAATGTTTCCAGCGGCCATCGATTGTCCACCCACAAAAGAAGGCCCCTGGGAGGAGCTGGAAGGGGTGGGAAACAGTTCACGCTCTTTGGCTCCACTGTTGCTGGAGCTGGACTGTTTGAATCGTTTTTTCCTAAAGAAAGAGAGAATTTAAAAAACATACAGTCTAGCAGAGTAAAAACACCAATAGCTGAAACACATACATTACGAACAGATTTTCAGGTCATGGATTTGTTCTTTTACCTGTACGTATATTCATTGTATTCAAAACACATACAGCCAAATTCGCAACTTAACATAACTTCCACATCCTGCCGATTTTGCTATGAGTGTGTGCCAGAAAGTATGTTACAAAGAAGGAGTATTAATGTTTTCTTTTCTAACCTTTAGAACGACTGAACTAGAGTCCATTAGAAAAACACTGACACAACAAAGGTCTAGAAACGCTGATGAAAAACCAAGACAAAAGAAGCACTGACAACAAAGACAGACTAGAAATAATAATATGACAAAAAGAAGAAGAAGAAGAAGAAGAATCATCATCATAATCATCATAATAACGGTAATAATAATATAATATATAACACATATCCACGCTTTACTGAACAGCATGCTTGCCTTGCGTTAATGAAAAATTTAATTTGTAGCACCCCCCCC